GTTTAGGGTTTAGGGTAACCCTACTTCTGTTAGTTCAACCCCAAGCAGCCCCAGAATCCTGGAGCCTACACCCCGAAGGTCTTGAGCCCTAAACCTGGGTTTCCCCAGTAAACCCTTACAAATAAGGGTGCCTTTGTTCCTACGTCTTCCTCTGTTGATGGACAAAATTCTGCATGACCCAAGTATAGTATAGTACCATAATTCCCATGCAGGATTTTGTGCATCAACAGTACTATTTGGCTTCTAATGAAGGAACCCAAAAAGAAAAGGGCAAAAGGGTCCTACTGGGAAACCGAGAAACCTATTGAGCCTCCATTCCAAATCCTGCGGCCCATGCCGGCCTTGAGGTGAGAATTGTGCTCGTCCTCTATCGTTTTCACCTCTTTCCTGAGAAATTACGAGGCTGAGATGAAGCCCCTTATAGCGTTGTGACGATCTTGTTCTGAAGTTCAGACCTGAGATTTTGGACGTAACCTGAGGCCTGGGGTGTGCGGGGTAACTCTTGACACCCGATGTTCCCGAAACATAGGGCAACACTTTCTGAAATCTCGGGTTACAAACCGCTGAACTGTAGGCGAAATGGCTTTCTTTCAGGTCGTGGTTTTATTGAAGCTTGGGCGCAGGGCATCCTGCAATGGCCTGGGATTTAAACTCAAGATCGATGCTTGTCGGCGTTCCCTCCTTTGTTAGCAAACCCTTGTATGAATTCCATTGCCAGCTGCGGGCTTGGTACGTCTCGAAAGTCTGAGAGTCCAAGGTCGTCTACATACCTCTACATATATATATATATACATACATACACGTGTATGTAGACGTATATGTATTTGTGTATGTGTATGTGTATTTAAGTGATTAAACCAAATGTGCATATGCATATATATATATATGTATATGTATATGTCGTGTATATATGTATATGTGCATACGTGTAGTATGTATGTATGTATGTATGTATGTATGTATGTATGTATGTATGTATGTATGTGTGTATGTATGTATGTATGTATGTATGTATGTATGTATGCATGCATATTCATAAACATATGTGTATGTACATAGATACATACATATATATATATATACATCTACAGCAGTTACAAGCCCTGACCCGTAAAAAAGACAGTCATTGCTGGCAGCCCTCACTGACACGACGAATATCGGTAACACCAAGCTGTACACAGTCGTGGGCTGATGAAGGAGCAGAGATAACTACCAAGGCTTTATGGGTAGTTTGGTAAATCAGGGTCCCTTTTGGGGGCCCTTTTCACAAGGGTGCCGTACTACATTGGGGACTTTAAAACAGGGACGCTAATTTAGAGAGTTACTCTTATGATCTCATCACTACTTCCTGAGCCTAGGACTGGGAAGCAGGGCCTGCTCATAATGTGATCTTAGCGGAACTGTGGGGCTTGGGGTTTAGGTGTTCCACTTCCAGGGGTCGAGGTGGAGAGAACTCAGGATTTGTGATTTCTAGGCACCCTAAACAAAGACTGACCCTGAAGTACACTATGAACCACACCGCTCACAACCCTACACAAACAGCCCGTAATCCTGCACCCCATAAACCCTCAACTCTAAACCCTAAGCCCTTAAATCCCTAGACCCGTACGCTCTCAAACCCTCCACCCTCCGGAAGAAGCGGTACGAACCGACACCCTACAAACAACAACCGGGAGCTGCGTCGAGCTGCTCAAATCCCTCCATCCTCTTCTTGTGCTCCTTCATTTGGCCCTGGAGTACCTGCAAAATTAAAGGCAACTACAGGTGGGGAGTTTAGGGTATGTAGGGCTTCTATTAAGGATTCTACAGGTATATAGACCTTCTATAAGGCTCCTATAACGGTAACTACCCACCTGAAAATGTCTTCGACACAAGGGCTTAAACCTGCAAGGAGTATTTGGGGCCCCAGAGCCCTAAATCTTTGGCCCTAGACCCCAAAGTTTGGGGTCTACGGGAATTAGGGCTTAGGGTTTAAGGTTTAGGGTTTACGGATTTAAGGTTTAGGGATTAGGGATGTATTGGGGTTCTTGAGGTTTGAAGCATGTAGGTCAATAGGGGCCTTAATAGTTAGAATAGGGCTTTGGGGCTTATTATACTATACTTAAAACGAGGAGCCCCCAAAATAATGGTAGTTATTTAAACCCTTTCTTACATTTTCTGCGTTGAGGCCCCACGCACGAGTCTTGGCTTCTTGGCTGAAGGAGTTTGGAACAGAGTGCGTACAGGATTTCTGAACTCCCCATACAGCAACAGTCTACGGTAAGGTTGCTATTAGGGTCCTCATATTGCTTCATTGCAAGTAGTATTCAACTGCTACTGAGTGGGGGCAGTATCCCACCTAAAACCCTAAACCCTCATTCCTGCTGCCCCATACCATTCGAATCTGGAAACTGGCGAAGACCCCAGCCCTAAAATCTCCGTGGAGCCGAAACCTCGCGTCTAGGGTTTACCTATAGTCTCCATTGCACTTCCTGTTTGGGTTTAGACTAACTTTATGTTCTGGATCCTAGAACAGTAACCCCAAAGAGGACCTTGGAGTCCCCAAGCCCCCAAACCCGAATCCCTAAACCCTAAATCCAAACCCCTTAAACCCCCCATAATCCCGAATCCCTAAACCCTAAACCCAAACCCCTAAACCCCCATAATCCATGGGTAGGGGTTGTAGGAGTTTCGGGGTTTGGGGAGGGTTTAGGGTTTAAGAGGTTAGGGTTGAGGTTTTAGGGTGTAGGGCCCACCTTTACCCGAATTAACCAACCTGTGTAAGGACACAGATAAGGAAATCACAACGAGATTTCGTTAGGAAACCTAGATAGGTAGGTTTCAGAAGGTTCAGTTACGGTTTAGGGATTCATCTGCTAGGGGTCGGAATGATTGGTCATAGTATTCCCTTACAGTCCTTGTATGTCCTTATCATCATTCTTTATAATCGAACCAACCTGCAACCCCTTCTCTAATTATTCAGGCCCCTAAACCGTCACAGCCCCCGCCGTGGATCGCCTTGTGCTCTTCCTCGAGGCTGCCGAGCTTCGTCTGGCTGTCGCGCACCTGGAGCAAACAGAAGGGATGCAGCTCTTGAAGGGTTTTATACGGCGCTTGGACGAAGGCCTCTTTTCAGCTTGTGGAGTGAAAGGGGTTTCAATGAGGATTTATGGATGTCTTATGTCGTGGAGTTGTGTGGCTAGGGTCAGCTCTGAAGGTTTTCTGAGGTCCTCTTCGGCACTATATAAAGCTTTGGTTATGCAGCATATTTCTGCATTCAGCGCTATATTAGCCGTTATGCAGTATGACACGGTTTAAGCTCTTACCTGAAGCTTGGGCTTTGAGGCCTTGGGGATAGAGCTTGCAGGCTAGTTGGCAAGTAGCTCGGGGAGCTTCCTGCGACCCTGATTTTTGGTGACTCCATGCAAGTCAAGCTCGGCCGCGCCTGCCATTCATAGGGTCGAGGGCTCAAAGCACGTAAGAGCCCTTTTGAAGCAAAGCTGGGTAGCAAGGAACGTATGGGATCTGCGAACATAGTAATTACGTAGATGTAAGGATTCAGGGCCTGCAAACTTCCCAGTCATACAAGCTAAGAACCCTAAACCGAAGAATTCCGATCTTAGGATAACTTAGGAACATGGCTCTTGGCTTCTACATCTTGTTAGCCTTAAGACCCCGCACGCCGAAACCTGTTCTGCAGGAGATTCACCGAGATTCTGCGCAGCCCTGGCCTTTGAGCTAAATGCCTATAAGCCCTGAACAGCCCTCAATGACTAAATGTAGGCGAAGCCCGAAAAGCAGCTGAGAACCACCGAGAACCTGTGCGAGGAACGCGATGGCCAAACCCCCAATACTGGAAACCTGCCTTTGTTATCTACGGCCGCTTCTTATGACTTGAAACTATTCAGGAATATGTCGGCCCTATTCCCTGACCTACTTCTCCGCTGTTGACGAGCATTGGGCTCTGCGGGATCGGAAAGCCCCATAACGCAGGCCTGGGACTGCGCCAAGACGCACCTCAGAGGTCTGATTGAGGGCTTCGGTTTTTTGGGTTAAAGTTCGAGTTCCTCAGGCTTGGCGTTCAGGACTTAAAGTGTAGGGCTCAACCAGCTCAACGGGCTGACCAGAATCTGAAGCGAGTTATGGTCTAGGGCGTTCAGGGTTCATACGGTTCAGGGATTAGCAGACGCATGCATGTGTATATCTATGTACATGCATACATACATACATACATACATACATACATACATACATACATACATACACATGTATACACACACATACAGTTGCTAATTTGCTTGCTTGCTTGATTGCCTATGTAGGTGTGTACGCATATATAGATATATAGGAGGAAGAGAGTTATACATTGCGTAGTATGTACGCACATATGTGTGTGCATGATGCCTCCACCGCAAATGCCCTTGCACTCTTTGTGGCACACCACTGCGCACCTCAATGTGTGTGCTTCCTGATCTGAACTTGTCGGCATCACAACCGCAAATGGCAACTAGCACATCAGGGGTGCCTGGCACGATTGGCTAGGTTGGCAATGCCTACGCAGTGAATCTGCTGATACAGTTGTACGAGGCTTTGCCTTCAGGCATCATCGTGATCCCAAAATACGCAAAGGCTCAAAGCCCTGAGGCTGATTAGTCAGACCAAACTCACAGACCTATAAAAGCTGAAGTCCTGTTTATTTTTCAGAAACCTTCAAACCTCATCCTCATCGAACATCCTAGGCCTTGTATATCCTAAACAGTATATACACCGTATAGAACGCAGCATTCTAAACCCGTAAGGGTCCATGTACCCGAATAGTAGATACTTTGGCCTTAATGTAGTCCCCATATAGGTACATTGGCCCCAGTACCTATATGGGGACTACATTAAGGCCAAAGTATCTACTATGTGGGTACATGGACCCTTAGGGTTCTAACTAAACCCCTAAACCCCTAAACCCTAAACCCTAAACTCTAAACCCGTCGTCCCGCCGCTCTTCGGCCACTTCGCGCTGCTAAGGCGCTGCATCTCCAAGCGCTCTGCCTCCCCGGTGACCCAGGCCTCGAACTCTACTTAAGGGTTCAGGGTTTCGGATTTAACGTTTAGGGTTTGGGATTTAAGGCTTGGGATTTAGGGTTTAGGGTTTGGGATTTAGGGCTTTAGGGTTTGGGATTTAGGGTTTAGGGTTGAGGGTTTGGGATTTAGGGCTTTAGGGTTTGGGATTTAAGGTTTAG